GAACATCACGAAAAACGTCAGAGACATCCGGAAAACACTGTGATGCTTCGAGGGTTTGAGTAACAGATTAAAAAAAATAAAGCAATCAGAAGTTACAGAATTAAACAGGTTTCAATGTTTGCTTTTTACAGTCAGAGGTAGGACAAAGCCTTTAAGACAAAGCATGAGCTGGCCAGGTATTTGAGTTGCAATGGAGAATGTGGCTGTGACTCTTAACATGAGTTTCTGGACAACAGTTGCAACGGTTTCCATTTTGCTGATGGGACAACAAGAGAAAGATGGGAGTTCCCTGGGTATAACAGAAAATTTTAATAAATCTTTTTCGTCAGGCTGCTGGGGCTGTAGTCTTTTGGAACCAGAATCTTTCTACCAAATGTGACATTAGGTGTCTTAGTCCTACTTTCAGTTTTCAATCATGAGAATGACTTGTTTTTATGCTTGCAGGTGCCCAACTTAAGACACCCTTAAACAGAAATAATTTACAGGACTATCAGTTCAAAAATGAGTGAACAAAATATGGAAAGTTGTTCTTTTCTGAAAAGCTGATGCATAGGCTGCGACTTATAAGAAGAGTGGAAAACTGAGGTTTATTTGTAGAAGTGTGGTATCCATTTATTACATATGCAAATATCTAATTTGCTTGTTCTTCCACCTGCACAATGTATCTGGACTGATGCATTGCAACACTGCTAACCACATAATCTGAACCCATTTTTGGTTTATATTTAAATGCTTAAAAAATAAAAATGAAAGAGCAGATACACAAATTCATTCCGTTTGGCAGTGCCAGGAGCTGTCTGTCTGGAAGAATCCCAGGCCAGCTTCTTGCGATGCAGTACAACTACTTATCTTGAACGTGTTAAAGCTGGCAAACAGTGTCAACAATCTGAAGGCTTTGCCCCATTAAGTACCTTTAAATAGTGGAAGAAAAGGTACTGCTACAACTAGAGAGATTAAACAAGAACGGAGGTCTGGGGATGGGGTAAGGTTCTCATTTCGGAGGGATGCAGAAAGAACAGAGGTTTGTTTGGTTACTTGTTTTCCATGTCACCAGTTCCTCTAGAGGAAAAAGCTGGCTGTGTTACCTCAGCCCTGGTTCAAAGAGCAACTGGGTACGGCTGCTAAAGTCAGCATGGCAAGGTTGCACTGACAATTCTAGTTCCTGACTCCTGGCAGAGCAGAGCAAGCTGCCCCAGCTGATCTAGGGCCCCGGGGATACGAGCAGCCAAGTCCCCAGGGAATGACTGACCAGAACTAGCAAACAGGGGTTTGGTCGTGGAGTTAGTTGTAGTGGAAAGGGAAGCAGAGGCAAAGTGGAGAGCAGCCTGTGTGAGCACAGCAAACAGTATTTTTTTTCAAGGAGGCCATGTGCTCTGGAAGAGAAAACTGAAGGGGAGCTCCTGATTAGCTGTTTAAACTGGAGGGGAGTGGCCTGATCAGCTAGCAGCAGTTTATTGTTCTGGTTCCTGACTCCTAGCAGAGCAAACCAGTTAGCTACCCCAGCTGGTTTAAGGTCTCTGCAATCCAAGCAGCCAAACTCCCAGGGCGTGAGAGAACAGGCAGAGCAAACAAGAGTTTGGTGGGGGAGGTCCTTAACTCTCCCCTACCTTTTCTCGTCTTTCTGTTCTAGTTCTGTTCCCTTAGTTCCCTCACATACTTGCTTTCTTCCTTGTAACACTCTCATTTACTAGTAGGCGTATGCCTTAACCTTTAATGAAGACAGGAGAAAACACCAGTTGTCACAACAGCCCCCAAGACAGAATCACAAAGGTCGCACAAACAATGGAGCAAGAAGGCTCTTGGTGGTGTGACCTGCAACAACGGTGCAATGTCTGTTTTCTCTCTTACCTGAGAGCAACATGGTCTACACATGCAATAACTGCAAGCCAGCAGCCCTGTTAGAAGAAAGGCCATGCTGCTTTCCTGACCTAACAAGGGCTCACAAGCCAGTTTACCACCAGCACCATTTAAATAACAGTTAAAAGAATCTTTAGAGGTAGCCATGCAAAGTTATTAACAAAAACATTGTCCTTGTGTAGACCACAGCAGATGGAGCTGAATCTCCATGAATGTACTTCAGCAATTTTACACTGACAAGAATTTTTAAAATTCCTCTATTCAAGAATGCCACCTTAAGGCCTGGGAAGATGAAATATTTCTTGCAGGGTGGTTTGTTCATGGGCAAAAAGTCATCCCAATAATTCATGGTTTGTGCTAGGGGTTGCTGAATTCACAGTGGGCTCTCATGCCATCTGAATGGAGACAAATTACCCCATTAGGGATTGTGGGCCATGGCTAGCAAGTCACTTGGCAAGAGTGGCAAAAATCTTTAAGAAAATGCTTGAAAACATGTGTGCACATTTTTTTAAAGGTAACAAGCCAGTGATAACACTTCCAATAATGACACTGGAGATCATGAAAAGTGATTTCCAGGAAGAGAGCCAGTGTGGTGTAGTGGTTAAGAGCATGGGACTGGGACACAGGCGATCTGGGTTCGAGTCCCCGCTCGGCCATGGAGCCAACTGGGTGACTTTGGGCCAGTCACAGACTCTCAGCCCAACCTACCTCACAGGGTTGTTGTTGTGGGGATAAGATGGAGGAGGAGAATGATGTAAGCTGCCTTGAGCCCTTTGTAGGAAAAAGGCAGGATATAAATCGCAAATCAAATAAAATCGCAAATAAGAAGTGGTAGAGAAGGTGGGGGGGGAGGGATTGAGGTGAGCAAAAAGGGACTTGTACTGCATCACCACCATCATTTGATCTGTATTCTTCCAAAAGGAAACTCAAGAAGGCCATCATTATCATACAAAAACAAGCACATTGATATCACAGTATCAAAAGCCAGCAACATGAAAAATCATCTAGCAATAAAAAGTACAGACAATCTAGAAAACAAACTTTCAGTTCAATACTTGCGGCAATTCATAAATTAAAAACTCAGAATGCAGCAAACAAATGAGGAGATACCAATATGACACTGGACAAAAATACAAATGTATGCCTCAGTATTCCAAGCCATTTGGATGTACCATATATATAGAGAGAAACCTGCCTTAAGGCTCCCCCACCCAGCCAAGTAAGACGCACCTAAAGCCATCCAATTAATTTTGGTATATGAGGCAACAGATGTCCTAACGACCTGTTCCCATCCCTGCCAGTATGAAAATCAACAATCGGGTATTAAATTATGGTCACCCAACTCTGCTGCTTGGGGTCAGCTTGACCAGCCTGACCAGCCTCCTCGCTGGGGGGCAGCAGGCATAACAGCCCCAGCCGCTGACCAGGCATGATGCTGCAGGTAGGATCCACTAGTCTCCTCAAAGGTAAAGCAGTGGGGTTTGTGGGCAATGACACAGTCCCTCATCTCACTCTTTTGCATTAGCCATTGGGTCAGCTGCCCCTGCAGGCCCCAACATTTTAAAGCAAAGCAACCCCATTTTGTAAGAGAGTGAAAACAGGACAGAAACAAAAAATGCAAATGGCGCAGCCATGCAGATGTGGAGCTATACTGAAAATTCTGAGGCTTAGGCCCACAGGACCTGCACACAGGTAACTTCCCAGCTGGATTACTGTAATGTGCTCTACGTGGGACTGCCCTTGAAGACAGTCTGGATACTTCAGACTAGAGCTGCCAGGACGTTAACAGGGACCGGCCAGTTTTCACATACAACGCTGGTCATCCACCGGTTACACTGGCTACCAATTGAAGTCCAGGCCCAATTTAAGGTGCTGGTTATGGCCTATAAAGCCCTAAATGGCTTGTGGCAGGGACACCTGAAGGAGTGCCTTCTTCCCTATTTGAGTGCCTTCTCCCTATTTGCCCTCCCACCCCCTGAGGTCTGAGGTGGAGGCCCTGCTCCAGGAGCCCCCCTTGAAGGCGATTAGGAGGGAGGGTACCTGGAGGAGGGCCTTCTTTGCGGTGGTGCTCCAACTATGGAATATACTTCCCAGAGAGGTTTGCATGGCGCTGACATTATATTCTTTCGGCAAAACCCTTTTTATTTTCCCGCTATTTTAATGTTTAATTGAATTTAATTGGGGTTTTAGTATATTAATGGTCGGACGCTATGGGGTTTGTTTTATTCTACTTATTTATTGTAAGCCATCCCGAGAGGTTTGTAGGGGATGAAATAGAAAAGCTTTTAATAAAATAAATAAATAAATTGCATGTGCTGATTTACATATGCTTTAAGGCATACACCCTGTTTCCCAAGGACACCCCTAATTTAAAGAAAGGATGCATGAACAGGAGAGGAGGGCAGTTAGATTTCAGAAGGAAACCCCCGGCAGGAAGATGCAAGAGAAGGCAGCCACCCATGTGGAGAAAAGTCCAGATTAATCCGGGGAGATCAGATGCAATAGAGATCATCAAAGCCTGTGCACCTTTCTTTGAGCAAGTGCGCAGGGGGGGGGGGGGGGGACAGCTGGCCTCCCAGAGATCAGGCCTCCAGCCCGACTCGCCGTCCCCTTAACATCGCTTCGGTGGCCAGGCCAGATCCCAATCGAAACGAGGTGGCAGCGCCTCAAGGCAAGGCAGAAACACCTGGAAAGAAGGACGGATACCCGTTGTGGCGCACGAAAAGCGCGTCTCATCTTAGAGATTGGGTTTCGGGTAGATCTGGGGGCAAAAATCCCAAGGACTGATATTGTAGCAAAGATCGACCGGTCAGATCGCCAAATTAAGAGTGAAATCCTGTATGTTTGACAGAAAAACGTCCCGCAGCTTGCAGGACTGCGCCCCAGGTTGGATATGACTTGCTAGCCGGGCAGCGTCAGCGCATCCTTTTATGGGAGTTATTTATGTTTGTGAGCCGCCCCGAGGCTTCGGCGAATGGGGCGGCATAGAAATTTTCTAAATAAACAAACCAACCAACCTCGCCGCTCGGCGGGCCAGCCGGCCCTTCGACGCGTGGGGAACTCCTACCGCCAGCGCAGGGCGGCGCCAGGCGAGCTTTAAAAAGGGCCCAGCCGCGCGCGCCCTGCCACCGGAGGGCCTGGCCATGTGTCTCTCGGCAGGGCTCGAGGGCGCAGAGCGCGGCTACTCGCCTCCCTCCTCCTCCTCCTCCTCCTCCTCCTCCTCCTCCGGCGACCGCTGCAGGCTGCGGCTGGCGCTGGCGCTGGCGTGCGTCGCCCTCGTCGTCTCGCTGGCGATGCTGGCCATGACCGCGCTGAAGCGCCAGGAGCCGCTGCCCGCGCCGCTGGCCTCGGATGCGCGGAATCCGCCTCAGGTACGCGCGCCTCAGGGACGGGAGGGCGCCCGTCCCCGGCTGGCTTACCCGCGGGGCGGCCGCCGTGGGCGCCAGCGAGCACGCCCGGGCCCCAGCCTGCTTGGGAGAGCCCCGCTCTTGCAGCTCTCCTCACGGAGTGGCCTCATCGGCAGCTTTCCCCTTCCTTTTCAGGCGTATGCACAGCTGGTCTTGAAGCTTAATGGAAACTGTAAGTACGGCACCCCTTCCCTGAGGCTGTGTGTTTGCTTTGGAGCTGCCTGTGCAGCCAGAAAACGGGCCCCGCGCACCAGCGCCCTATGGCTGGGATGCCTCCACGGCTAGTGGCTGCCTGCTGATGGAAAATCTCGCGGCGCGCGTCCTGCGTAGCAAACGCGGGCGGCGTTGTGCAGTGGGCGCGCTCGTGGTCAGTGCCTGTGGGCGCCTGCATGGGATGCATGTGTGGCGCTCAGGCTACTGCAGGGTAGACGCGTGTAAGAGCCTCCTAGCTCACGGGGAGAAAGGTGACAGAACAGGGCAACAGCCCACGGGGGACTGCGTGAGCCCATCCTCTGCCTGCTTTCTCACGCACCTGTTTTTTCATCTGCAAAGGAGGGAAGATGGGACAGTTTTTTCCACTCCGAGTGGAGAAATAGGTTGGTATGAAATAGGAAAAAAAAAAGCAGCAGTGAAGAGAAATAGGCCATTCGCATTCGTGCACTCAGGTTTGTTTGTTTGTTTGTTTGTTCATTCACATACTGTGACCTATAGCCAAATTCAGGGCTCTCCAGGCAGTGTACAATATGTTAAAAATAATACAAAAAGTCCAGAAATGTAACATTACAGAGGGAATAAGTATAGCCTTCCCATTTTTACTGAGTTGATTTCTCTACTGCCCAACAGCCAAAGCCCTCAGGTTGGTTCACAGATTCCCAGGAGTAACAAGCCATCTACTTATATGGGAGAAAGTGAAGGATGTCTGCGCGAAGTCTGGCTTCTTGTCCTTAATAGTGGTGGTCATTAAGAAGTCAGCTTTTCTCTGCAGGGCAGCATCTTGTAGGATGTTCCTGGTTGTGCTAAATGGGTGGGTAACTGGCAGCCCTCTAAAAGGTTTGTCCGCCAATTCCTACCACCCGTCACCACTGCGTGTGCTGGCTGGGACTGTCGGGAGTTAAGGCCAAATGATCCGAAGAGCCACAAGGTGTCCACCCCTGACCTGCGGCTGGATGCAGCATCAAGAGCTGCCCTTTTAGCATGTGGCTGACTAAGCTCTCTGCAGCTTATACCTGCCTTTGCCAATCTGGTGCTTTCTCGTTGTTTTGGATTTTGATTCCCATCAGCCCCAGCCAGGATGGCCAGTGGTCAGGAGTGCTGGGAGCTGTACTTCAAAAGTCCAGAGGCTGGCTCACGCACTATACATGTGGAGGGATCTCTAGGCAGACTCCCCCAACCTGGAAGTTATGATCCACACATGCGGAGGGAACTGGGCTGAGGACGGCTCCTCTAGGAAAGGCCTGAACCGTCATAAGACTTAACACTGGGCTTTGTCCTGCAAGGGCCCCTGCGCATCTCGGCGGGGGCCGGGCCTTCCCAGGACTTGTATGCCTCTGCAAGGGATCTGGAGGGCTTGTGCCTCTGCTGCAAAATACTGTCCTGCTATTGTGTTGAGCAACAATTGACATTCCACTTGACTCTTTCCTCTGTCAGCTCAGCTTACGAATCGCAGGACACTGGATTGGTATGACAGCACTTCAGTGCAAGGTGTGTACCTTGACTCAATGTTTGAATACAGCTCCCAGGGGCTAACTGTTAAGCATCCGGGCAGGTATTGTATCTTTGCCCAGCTGACTGTGAAACGCTTAGAGTCGATCTCCAAGCAAGTGGAAGTGAGCCTCATCATCCATCGAAAAAATGCCATGCATTCTTCTCAAGTTCTCATCATCCCTCTGGATCTGTCAGCAAATTCAAGTTCTCTGATCGAAAAATTTAGTGCAGTGTCTTCTCAGCTGGCAAATAACGACACGCTCTCTGTGATGCTAATGGTAAGTGAAAGCTTGAATTCTGCATGGACCCTTCATCAGAATGGTAACTTCTTTGGGCTCTTTGAGATGAAAGACCTAGCTCAGAAGTGACATGACTTGAAAACCATGCCAGAGCTATGCTGGAAATGGACTTGGTGCTCAAGAGTTGCAGGACATCAGAGGATTCCTCCAGTCCAGAAGTCACAGCTTTAGCTGAAGAGATGATTCTGCAGATTAGAGATTTGGCTGAATTAGCACCAGGGCTTCCATGTGAAACAGCATGGTCTGTTCAGAGCGGAATACATGGATCTGCCCGGGAACCTGCCTGAATGGACATGAATGGCATCCACATTGCACTGTGGACCAATCTTGCTGTGGGACTGGAGAGAACCCTGGACAAGGCAAGCTTTTAGAGGCTGCCTTTCAGATCTGCCTTTGAGAACAAGGTTGGACTAAATGACCTTGGAAGACTGGTGACTCTTCCTATTTTGTATCCAATTTGATTGCAGTTAGAAACTAAACTCAGACATGTAAGAAAATGTACAGGCAGAACATCCTAAAGAATTGCACCCTGCCCAAGAGCAGGGCAGGACTAGCATGCCCCCACACCGCATTCTTTACCCTGCTTCTTGACATCTTACTGCCCTGCCCTGATCTGCCCACATGCCCTTTCTACCCAGTTGAGGGCTCTAAGTGTCGTGGCTGCAGCTGGTGCAACTGGCACATGGGCTGAGTGGCTCATCCGAGTGTGGGGTGTCCTCCGTCCAGGATGCCTCCGGCAAACGATTCCCTTCCTGCTGCCTTCATGCAGTGTGGGCTTCTGAGCACCCACAAAGCCTTGATATATTGTCAGTGTACAGCAGGCTCACCCTACCGTTTTTTGCATCTTATGTCCAGACTCCAAAGACCTAACTGAGATTCAGAGGAAAGGCTTGGGCTGGACCAGCGGAAGCCTCCCCCTTTCTTCTCCTGAACAGCTGATATCAACCCCCACTCTCCATGCACAAATTGCTCTGAAACTCTCCTCAGCTCCTCTCCCATTCCCCAGACCCCACACACAGGACCTAGAAAGTAGTCGCACTCCCGATGTAGCCCAGCTCCTCCTCAAAAGTTCATATATGGGGAAAACTATATTTAAATTAATTATAATAAGAGATTGTGTTATAGTGACCTATTTAATACTTGCATTTTATTTAATATATAAATTACTGGTACACTTCAGTTTTTCTTACACCATTTCAGGTGAATGTGCATGCATTATTTGCATGTCTACAGTTTAATGTGGAGGCGGGGGGGCTCTGCTTCCAATCTGGCCATTACTCTTTTCTCCAAAGCCTCGCTATTTATGAGTCTCTCCCATTATCCTTGTGGCAGCATCACCCTTAAACTGTAAACACACACAACTCTCAGGTACACAAGTGAAATAGACTGTCACTGGCAAACCAGAAAATTACAGGAAACTCTCTAAGTTGCATCCAGACAAGTTAGATTTCAGTGGGAACCAAGTGTAACTAATGTAGTGTGGATCCAACCTTCTGTATTTAAGGGCTCTGCTACTTATTTGTCTTGATTTTTGGCAAGACTAAGACAGTGACTTCAGCCTCAATGCACAAGTTCAGACTGAACAGCCTCCTTTTTGTTGGAGTTTGTGCAAAAGCACATAAGAGCCTTGTTTTCTACATTGGGGTGGGCAGAAGGTAGCTCTCCAGCTGTTTATGGCCTCAACTAGGGATGTGGGACACTGGAAAACTTGATGAACTTTTGACACACTTCTGACCCAGGAGCCAAAGGAGGACTGAGTCAGGTTTTGGGCTTCTGCAAAATTCCTTGACATATTCATACATGCCTGGAGCAGAGAACCGTATGTGTAACATAGCTCACTCAAATTGCATAAATTATGCAACTTGGACCCATCTTCTTAGATGTGGGTTGCTGCTGCTTTGGTTTAACATGAGTGCTATGGAAGCATCCTCCTCTCACTGCATGTGCCTGCACTCCATTTGGACTACCGGTTAATACCAGACCTATGCAAAAGACAGGTCTCCATTCTGCAGTTTGTGCAAATTTGCACAAATTACAGGGCGTAGGCCTGAATTCTGGACCAACTTTCCTGCCTGTGTGTTTGTGTGTGTGCGCGCACACGTGCACGCACACACAAACACACACATTGTGGCCCATTAAAAAAAATGGAATTCCACATGCTGCCTGGATTTGCATCAGCACAGGGTGGATGGACCAGAATCTGTGGGCCAAGTTCAGAAAATCTATGGGGTTTTCATCCCCGCCATCAGATTCTCCACATATCCCTAACTTCAGCTCCCAGAAGTCTCTGCCAGCATGGCTGTGTTGGAAGCTGACTTCAAGAGCAGCTGGTGATCTACTTTTCGCCTATTGCTGAGCTATGTTATTGGCCTGATAACATACTTTAAGTACCTTTTCCTCACACAGATGCAAATGCTCTTTGACATATGCAGTTAAATATATGCTAGAGTGTCATGAGTTTCTGTTGCGACATCATCAGCCAAGCCTGCATTGCCTGCCGTCCTGTGGCAGACGTCTTGGACCTTTTGTCAACTTGGCATGCCAAAGTGGATGTCATAGGCTCTGTGGCCCTGTGGAATGCCAAGCTGTGAAGAAACGGGTGCAAGTAGGCTTGACCTTGCTTTGCCATAGATGCAAGCAAGCTGATTTTAATGCCTCTGCCATGTCAGAGAGTCTTTGGGCTGTTGGGTAAAAGTGAAAAGAACAAAATAAAAAATATCCTTTGCCAAGGCTGGCCACTCCAAAAGTGTTGGGCTGCAGCTCCCTTAATCCATGGCCAGTGCAGACTATGGATTACGGGAGTCATGCATCAACACTTCTGGAGTGTGCTGGGTTGGGGAATAGTGAGTTGTACCACCAGGTTTTTCAGGGTTGTAGTACCAACCCTAAGGAATGCAAAATCGGGTTAGACATACTACACCCAGGTCCTGAGTGTCTGATGCTTTAATGCATGTCCTGTTCGATCTGTAGAGTGGTAGCATTGCACGTGGCTTTAGGTCATTCTTTTACCAGAGATGTGGCCACTGTCTGTTATAAATAAGTGAATAAATGGTTGGATTGTAAAGACAATTCAAGGTGCTGTTTTTTATTTTTTTAAGTCACTTGTGACTGCATAGCAATTGTCATTATTCAGATTTATTTATGGTAAAGAAAATAATGAAAAAGATGTATATTTTCATATGTATCTCTTGTGAATTGAATAGATAAATGATTTTATAATTGCTGTGCCTCTGTTTTGCAAGGTCTTGTCAGTTTCAGCATCAAAGCTGCATTGCATATTTTTCTAGCAGAGTTGATATTTCAATAGGGTTTCATTTTGGAACTAATATTTTAGAAACCTAATATATTCATAATTCTAGGAATTGTTTCCTATAAAAATCCAGTAATACCATTTCTGGATCTGATGCTATTCAGCTGTTTCTCTTAGTGCATCTAAAAAAAGTTCTGAAGCATATGGCTCAGGTCCAGAATGGGGCCACAATCCAGTGTGGGGATTCTTAAGATCATTGATTTCAATGATGCTTATGTACTTCTGGAGTCCTCTGCCATCCTCAGTGGCTCCCAGTTGAGGTTCAGGCCCAATTCAAGGTGTTAACACTAGTGTTTAAAGCCCAAAAGGCTTGGGGCCAGGGTATCTAAAGGAGCACCTCTTTCTGTATGAACATACCCCGCACCTTAGATCTGCATCTGAGGCCCTTCTGAAGGAGACCCATCCTCAGAAAATAAGAAGGATGGCAACAAGAAGAAGGGCCTTTTCTGCAGTGGCACCCCGACTCTGGAACAAGCTCCCCAGAGAGGGTCACCTAGCACCTTCTTTACATTCTTTTAGGTACATGGCAAAGACCTTTTTATTCCAATGGTGTTTTAATTGCTAATTTGTTTTAAGTAGCATTTTAACTGTGGAGTATGTTATCAGTTCTGTGCATTTTATGTTGGTTTTAATGTTTTATTACTATTTGTAATATTCATTTTTATACTGTATTTTCATTATTGTAACCTGCCCAGGGAGCCATATGGCTAATGGAGTGGGTTAGAGAGCAAATAAATAAACAAACTGCATTACATACCATTGGAATGGAATCTGTCTTTAAGAACTAGTACACTCTAGGCATGGCTGGACCACACATCAGGACAGCTGTGCGCATGCAGAACGGACGGTGTAAGACTCAACAGCCCCTCTCCGTCCTGCTTCCCTTGCATGCACAGGGACCCAGCCTGCGCCAGACACTTCCTGAATCCTCAGGCCGTCTTCTGCCTCTTCCGGACAGTGCAAGTTAAAGTTTCAGACTGAAATAAATCTGCACCTGGGCCACAGAGAGGGCTGGATAAAGAGAGAGAGGCACAGGTCTCCCATTCATCTTTGTGTACCAAGGCTCTCTGAGTTTTCTCAGTGTAGAAGTGGCTGCACACACATTTATGCATTTGAGCATAACTGCAGTTAATTTATATTTGAAAGACTTTTACCCAACCTTTCAACACAGGACTTCCCAAATGGCTTACAAAACTTGTGTAAATCGATTAACAGACTTTCGACCACAGCAAAATCATCAAATTACCAAAGGTCCTTGAAAGACAAGGTAAACAAAATGTAAGCCCAAGAAATCAAAATTCTATTTACCGGGTATCTATACATCACCAAACAAGGTGCCAGACAGACTGACTGACAGGGGATGGGGCTTCTACAGTTTCTGTGCCACCTCCAAGAAGTAGCTCATTTTAGTAGTCACCCGAATCATTTAAAGGATGAGGGCACCCAAAATTTTGCTATTGATCTTAACAGCTAGTTAGATTAGTCGTCCTTTAACTTTCTTGGTCCTAGCCTAGAACATTATGGGTATGCTCCTATGCCAGCCATATTGAGGATTACACATTTTCCCTCTCTAAATATGCATAGGATAACGGTTAATATCAGCATTTTGAATTGTGTCCCCCAGAAAGTTGCCAAGATAGGTTAATTTCTCAGTGTAGCATTCACTTAACAGGTTTGCAGCTATATTGTGGACCAACTGAAGATTCTGAAAAGCCACCAAAGCGTGGGCACCTGTGGTCAGCTCATGGCTTTCCAAGAAGGGCCACAGCTGATGTGCAAGCTAGACGAGGGTGTTTGGTGCAATTGAGAGCATTTGCATCACCATCTGCAGTGCCGGCTCCAAGTGCAAGCAAGGAGGATACCTGGAATTCTTGTAGCTCACAAGCTGAACCCATCTTCTTATGTGATGCAGCTGCAAATAAACAAATGCTATTTTGGGCTGCATTTATAGAACTGCCACTTCCAAATCAGTGAAGTACTAGTTCCCCTCTACTCAACATCGGTTAGGCTCCATTGGGAGTGTCGTGACCATTTCTGAGCACCACAATTTAAAACAGATGCAGACAAGCTGGGAAAGGTTCAGAGGAGTTTATCAGGGCAGGGAAAACAAAGCCCTGTGGGAGGCGTTGGGATGGATTGGGCTTGTTTAGCCTGGAGAAGACTGAGGGGAGGTATGGCAGCAGAGCTCTTCTCCACGCTGGAGTGCAGGATATTGTTTAACGGGAAGCCAAATTCTGGCTGGACATCAGGAAAAACTTCCTGATTGCCAGAGCAGCGACAGAACCAATTAGCAGGGGAGGATGTGGGCTTTCCCACACTGCAGGCATTCAGAATTGAGTGGGGCAGACATCTGAGAGGGATGTTTTAACCTGCAGTCCTGCACTGAGCAGAGACGGGACACAGTGGCCATCTCGGTCCCTTCCAGCTGTGCTGTTCTGTGCTTCTGTGCAACCTAAGGCCAGTTTTATGTCCAGTGCAAAGCATGGTGGCAATGCTCATGCTGAACGTTTCCTCTGGAGGTCCACTTATGACCGCGTAGCCCTCGTGCCAGGGAAGGGGTGGGGAAGGTAGCTGGGTGCTGAGTGGAATTAGATGCAGCAAGTGAACTCCACCGCCACTAAGGATTCCGATTCTGAAGAAGACCTTGACGGCTTTCAAGCACCCCTGGTGCGGCCCACAGGTCCCCAGGCGGACCAGGAAAGCGCAGATGTCTTGGAAGAGACAAGAGAAGTTCGAGGGCGGGGGAGGAGGGAGAGCAGCTGCCTTGCCCAGTCCCCGATCCCAGGACGAGGTGGACGGCGGTCACGGACTGCAGTTAGAGGGGGGGCTTGCGGAGATCTTTCCGTGCTCCGCTGAGGAGAGCGAGAGGGCGGCGGGGAGGGGGGGGGGGGGGGCCGGGCGTCGCTTTCCTCTGCAGCGGGATTTGTCCTGGTGGAGCGGAACGATTCAGCCGCTACTCCACTTCAGCGGAAACGGCGGCGGCGTACGTCGCATCACACTCGCTTCCCCGCTTGCAAAGACGGGCGCGGGGAGGCAGAGCAGCGCGCCGAGAGCGAGCAAACCACATCCCGGCTGCCCTCTCCTGCGAGCGAAACGGGCTGGGTGGCCGCTCCGCACTTTTCTCGGGCAGATGCTTTCCTCTGCGTTGCCGCAGCCCGCTCGGAGGGGAAGGAGCCGCCGGGCCGGCGAGCCGCGCCCCCCCCTCCGCCCACCCCCTTCCCTGACGACGCCGCCGCCGCTTGCTCCGCTCCGCGCGGAAAGTCACGCCTGCCGTTTCCCTTCGCTCGCCAACCCAGGTGGAAGCCAGCTTACGTCTAGGAAAGCTGGACGAAAGTTTTGACTCCGAAATTTGAATGTGCACGGCACTCGTGACAAGTCACCCCAGGCTGTCTTCCAGTATTTACGTATTTTTAAATTTTAATACGAAGTTCTCTGAAATAGTTTATCATATGCGTGCTTTTCTTCGTGCCTCTTTTATCCCCCAACTTCTTTTCCCTTCCACATTGTCCTTAACCGTTTCAGTCTTCATAAAAGTTCTTCCGTACTAATGCACCGACTTTGGTTCTTGCTGTGAAGACCTGAGGCGTTCACCCTCACGTGCGATGCTGCTCCAGCCCAGCAAAAGAGCAGGTGACGGAGGGGACGGGGGAAAGAGAAGAGAACAAGTAAATGGGAAATGAAAACATCAGCGTGAACATATCAAATATGAAATGTCATATATCATCCACTGTCAAATATGACATACTACTTCACCTTATTTATCAAAAATCATCAGATGTTCAGGATGTCATCCTGCTGCCCTGCCTAGATGCATCAACACCAAATTCAGAGGCTCGCGCACACCCAGTAATGGAGGGAGAAGCGGTGGGATCACCAGCACATCTTCCAGTTCTGGGGTGGGAAGGAGACTGGGGCCCCGGCAGGAAGCTGCAAGGGGCAGGGCGGGCTCAGCCCCCAGAGTCCCAGCACTGAGGCTGCAGGAGAATCCTGTGGCTTGCTCCCCAGGGGAATGATATTTGCTTTATTATTTATTTATTTATATAATAATATACAATAATCATATATAAATAAGATAGTGTGCTATGTATTCAATATTGCTGTATGTTCAACAAATTCTAGCCAATAGTAAATTAAATACCACTGAATGCAAGACACAGATAACCAATGCTCTATGATATTCAGAGAAATATCAGCCCACTTCAACTTTCTCTTGATTCTGAGTCAGGTAGATCTGATAGCAAAATTGCTGTTTCAAACCTCAAATCTTCTTTTTGAAAAGTTTAGTTCAAGTATGACTAATTCATACAATTTTTTTCAGGATTTTTTCAGTCAAGGCAGCCAGCACGATTCTTTCCCACTGACTGCAAGGGGTGTGGGGATGAACACTCAGCCCCAGAGTCCCAGCAAGGAGGCTGCAAGGCGCCAGCTCTGGGGCTCAGAAAAAATGCTGGGAAGCCACTGGTGTGTAAGCTTAGGCAAACCACAATATGGTCATTCTCCGATGTTCAGTCATTCTTACAACCAGTTACAGCTAACAAGTCATGACTTGTTCAGAAAAATATAAGCCACTCTATGGAAAACTTCCTGGGTTTGGATGGCGCAGCCGCCAACCATGGCTAGGTACCCATGGTGGGGGTGGGGGGAAGGTTATGTCACACGAACCTAGTCAACATAAGCTTCAGTTAAGACCAGAAAAATCCCACCCCGGCATGAACTACTAAGACTGAAGAAATTGTTGAGGTGATTCTGTGTTATTAAACTTCCTATTGACTACACAAAGCTCTCTGATTAGTTAAGCTGTCATTGCTGGTTTTTTAAATGTTATTTTTAATACAAGTACTTCACAGAAACTGTAGATATAGGACACAATTTTAAATCAGGCATTTCCCCTTTTCTCACATGCAGAGGGAATG